TGTATTAAATCTCAAACGAAAAACGAGTATTATTCCCATGCACTGAAATGTTTGAAAGAAATATATGAGAAGTTATCTACACTATTAAGTGCTGAACAGAAAAATGAGTAAGTTGCTGGAAATAACCTTGATATAATCACTTTACTATGAATATAATTATACTATTCTTTTCTAGGACTGTAGTTTTTGAATTGTGGCGAACTTTAGCAGAAGTACTAATAACATATATGGATGATTTACAAGAAATTAATGAGGGAAATGCTGCAGGACACAATTTAAAGACTGTTGAATCAATAGTAATATTTCCGTTTATGTATATGAGTTTGGAAGACCACAAGCAAGTTAGTTTTTAACATTTTTAATTTCAACAAAATTAAATACAAGTATATGTTTTACCTGAATATTTATGTACTTTATACTAGATACAAGAATTGATCAAAGTTTGGAAACAGCTCTATAAACAATTAGAGATGCGAGCAGATCTCATTGAAACAGTAAAGTCTAATGAAATTTTATTAAGCATTGCAAATGCTATGCAGTGTTGTATAGTGAAAAATGAAAAATCTTGTCGTTTAATTACAAAATGTTTAGATATTTTATTAAGTACCGTCAACTATAAATTTTTGTTGGGTATGTAATGGAGATCATGTAATGGAGAAATTAATAGCATAAAAAATATTTTGTAGCTAATTTGATTTTCATTTTTCAGCGAATGTAGAAGTTCCCTCTATTATACATCTCATTATAGAACTTATAAGTTGCTCTTTATCCAATTCAAACATTGCAGAATGTGAAGCTAGTCTTAAAGCTCTCTCTGCAGTACTTATTACAATTTATGGTCACAATCCTCAAAAAGTAATATCATATTTACAAGTTTGTAGACCGGCGATTGAACTGATACTTTCGTCTAAAATAGATACAATAAATAAGGAAGTATGTATCTGATGTTCATATTTTAAATATTGTGGTTTCCGTTTATTTGAACCATCGTTTAATCAGGACGGTTGTTTATTTGGAACAAGGCTCAAAGGACAGAACCTAATTAAATAGTACCAGTTTTCTTTTTTTAATTGGGCTAAAGGATATTAGACCCAATGTAACCCAAATGACCGGAATCTACTGTATTTAAATATGTTGAAATATATGTATAATATACAATTTTGAATTTTCAGATAATAAGTACATGGGAAACTATTGTCAGTATTTTCAAAGGTCTGAATAAATTAGTTGATTATGATCTTCTTTTATCGTACAAGAAAGCTATCATTCTTGCTTTAAATCATAGAAATCTTGGCATACAGAGTCAAGCAGTATCACTTTTTGATCTTATGAATGTGTTAAGTGGAAATGCCAAATCAATATTTCAAGACATAGAAACAGAGACATGCAAAGATAAAATATCACGTAGACGAGAAGTTACCAAAAAAACTGATGCTACTGAAAAGTCACCAAACCAAATTAAAATGGTTGGTAGTTTCTTAAATAGACGCTCTTGCAGCCCAAAAGCTATAGTGAAAGAAACTATCAAAACCGATAAGAAAGTATCACCTGATACTAATTCTGAGGTAAATATACACATGTATATCAAAATTCAACATATATGTCTAATTGTGTTTGTAGAATAGAGAATAGTTATTCCTAAATTATCAGTTCAGTTTGGAAAATTCCTGCATAGAATCAAAAAACATATTGAACGGTTCCTTGGTACTATTGATTTTTTCAATAAAATTTAAATTTTCAATATTTTTTGTTAGTATGTCTGATAACTTTGTATTGTAATTTCGTACAACAAAATTTGCTTAGTAATTTATTTTTTCTATATTAAATACTGTATAGAATCGGTTTACTGTATTTTTTCAAATTACAATACTATGTAGAGATGTCAAGTTGGTTAATAAGTTGTCACAGGAACAAGAGTACGCTATTTTATCTATATAATTCCATTTTTAATGATTTGATAATCTTTTATATTCTTTATGTGACGTAATCTGATGTGTAAATAGAGCTGTTCCAGCAAATAACGGAACTATGTAAAGGTGAAACTATGAAATATCACTCAAACGTCTTTTGTTTTTCAAATCCTTTGTTTAGCTAATTTGTCATCGCACACTAAAAGTTTATAGTGCTATAAAAAAGGTTTTGTTTCCAAAGATCTTGATTTTTAACGATTCATTTTAGGATTATGTTTTCATCAAGACTGACCTAAAATATGATGTGAGTCGTTTAACCGAACATCAAAAAGAATCTTTAAAGCGAAAACGAGATGATATTCCAGCACTTTATAATGACTTATCGCAATCTTCTTCACAAGATACGCAAAATTTACAAGAATGGTTTGACAAGAAGAATGATATTTTAGCGAAAAAAGATAATATTTCAATGAAAACCACTATTAATGACGAGGCAAATAAGGAAAACAAATTGAGAACAATAGAATCAGAGATTGTAGACAAAACGGCTATTCAGAATGATGCAGTGCCGGTAGAACATGTTGGACAAAATGCGAAAGACATTATAGAAAACAACGAAAATTTAACCATAACAGATACAATGCCAGATACTTTTGATAATTCTACAGAAAGCGGCACAAATCTTGCTTCGCAAGAAGAACGCTTCATGAATAAAGGCCGTAATCAATGCCTATCACCATCCATTTTAGATAGTGGCAAACGTCGTAATCGACATAGTACAATTGCAATGTCTAGTATTTCTCAAAAAATAGAAGAAACTAACAGTCAACCAGGACAGTCTGACGCAACTACAATTAAGGAAAGAAGCTTAAGAACAAAAAGAATTCATAAGGAAAGTATAGCTAATAGACTTGCGAGTGATTCGAAAAGTAAATTACCTGAGACAGAGAAAAGAGGTGTCAAACGTAAAGCAACTTCGGACAGTGAAAGTGAAAGTACGAATCCACGTAGACGCTACAAAAGTTCTGATCGCGACAGCCCCAAATTTACAGAAATTGATACTATGGCAACAAATATGGAAGCAATAACCGACGACGTAAATTTGAGTCAACGAACTAGGAATGAAATATCGCGATTACGTATAAACATGGTATTTGATACTTCTGTACGAACTAGTCGTCGATCCAAGGGTCAGGAAGATAACGTTAAAGAAGTTGTTGTTAGAAAACAATCACCTGAAATTAGAACGTCTAAATTGAAAACTGGAGACAAAACTATTGATTCTTTGAAGAAAAACCTTAAAATTAATGATAAAGAATTAAATAAAGGCCACTGTGTAAAGAGAGGAACTAAATGGACCAAAACAAAGCCAAAAACAGGCAAAAATAATGAATTCGCTAAATCTGAAGATGTAAACATAATATTAGAAAATAAAGGAGATGAGGTGGAAGAAGAAAAGCAACTAGAGGAAATGGCAAACAAAGAAGGAGAGATTAGAGAAGATATCAAAGATGGAGAGAATCCAGAAGGAGAGAACAAAGAAGGAGAGAACAAAGAAGGAAAGAACGAAGGAAAAGAGGACAAGGAAGGGGACGAGGAAGACAACAAAGAAGAGAACAAAGAAGAAGAGGATCTACAGATAGATATATCAAAGACTGCAGTAGGAGACATTGAAAGTGTAGTATCCAATGCTAATGAAGTTATAACGCCTAAAATTGTAGAATCTAAGGACGATGGACGGAATACTGAAGTAGAATGTAAAGACGTTGCTGTCGGTGAAAGTATTGTAATATCTAAAGATGTAACATTGGTTGAACAGCAAACACAGACTGAAGATGATACAGAAGATATAATTGAAAACTCGCAGGATATAACTGAATTACAAAAGAAGTGTAGTGAGAAACAGTGTTTTATCAAAATTAATAAAATTGGCGAACCATTGCAATCGCCAAAATTGCACGGGACTTCAGGTGATGAAGAGGTGGCAAGCATTGTTTCAAACACTTGTGATAGTGACAATAACGAAGTTCCTAAAGATAATATTAAGGAATCTGAGGAAAATATTGAAGGTGATTCCGATAAGCCAAAGATAACGACTTCAACCACTGAGAATTTGTATGATAATGGAAAATATGTTATAGTTGAAGTACAAAAAATTAACGAGGGATCAGTGGTTAAATCCCTTCTTGGGCTTTCTTCACCAAAAAATATGACCAAGCGCCAATTAAAATTTAAAACTTATGCTCCGCAAGGTCGTGCAGCACATATGTTAGGGTTAGTGACGAAACAAGCAAAGATGGAATCTGAATGTTACACTATAACTATAGACGATGAAGCTGCAATAAAGAAACTCAAGATTAAAGATACGGAAATCGAAACAGCAAAGAAAGCCGATAAAGTAACGGCGACATGTAGTAGTCGACAAGAAAAAATTTTCAACAATATGAAATCATCCGACTTTTGTCCGTCACCTCCAATAAAATTGTTTTCTAACTTGAAAAATGATGGAGAAAAAGTTTTCTCGAAAATTGATAAAATAGAAGATTCTGTATCTGTTCAAACTGATGCTCAAGTGGAAAAAGTGATCGAGGAATCTTCAACCGAAATGGAGGAATTGCCAATTTTAGAGTGGTCAAGTGCAAATCCACCTTCGTTAACCGCATCTCCCAGCGTTAGCATTCTTAAACGTCAACGACAGTCTTTACCAGAACCAGATCCAGAATGCACGACTCCTAATAAGGTACTTACCTTTTACAATATCTTTTTAGTAGATTCTTGTATGATACAGCAAATAGTACAAATGATAAAATGCTGCATCAAACATAATTCTTATACATGTAAATACGTATCATCTATTTTCCAACTACTACTTAGGAGTACAGTAAATTCTCTCTAATTGTCCCTTAGCTTGTAAATAAAGATGGACAATTTCAGAAAAGGAGATACAATTATATCTGTACTGTGTAAAGTAAATCATACATCTTCTATAATACAAGACTCTACTAAATAATTCGCTTTTCGATAAAATTTTAGAATAACTGAACACATTTAATTAACGATGGCAAAATCTTATGTTTTCATAAATATTGAAATTCATTAATAATTTGAAAATTTATTGAAATTTTATTTTGATGATGAAAAGATTTCAAAATCAAAAACGTTTGAAGTCAAATATTTTCTTTATCGCGGTTTGATATTGTAGTTTGATGATATTAAATTAGATATGCGAGATTAAGTGAAATAGAACATTGACGCGAGTTCAGGTTCAACCAAGATGTAAGATGGAGAGCCGACTACGGTTTCTCCATCACAGAATTTTTATGACGCTAAAAGTTTACTTCCATGAGTTCCCGCGGGAGATGTAATGTTTCCTTCGGTGCTCTCTCTCTCTCTCTCTCGCCGATACATTACTTTTCTAAATTATATTTGTATAAGTGTGGTACTACTACCGGTAATGTTGCTGTAGAGAGAGCACAAAGTACTGTTAAGATCACAGAAGTATGAATGAAGTCAGTTAAACTAAACATTTAAAAACAAAGCTATAGTATGTGTTCTCTAGAGTATGTAATATTTTGTATCATAATTGCCGAATGCAATATTTCAATGATTAGATTTCATTTTAATATTAATGAAAATATGATTTAGTTATACATTAATATTTGAAATTTCAGTAAATAAATAAATTAGGAGACAGTCAGATAGATTCACACGAAAATTTTCATACAGTTCTATTTACTTTAATTTCATAATTCCGAGGATTATCTATAAATTCTAAAGAGATGTAGATCATTTTTAAGATTGAC